GAAGGGAGGGGAAGAGCGAGATAGAAACGTCAATGATGAGAGAGAATCATAATCCACTGCCTCCTGCATGCCCCGCACCTGGGGATTAAGCCTGCAACCTGGCCATGTGCCCTGACCAGGAATTGAACCATGACCCCCTGGTTCATGGGTTGACACTCAACCACTGAGCCACACCGGCCTGGCTTGTTAGGGTTTTCTAAAACATGGATCGGTAGTGAATTTTCTCTTAGGACCTTTCTTTCTGTTTTGAGGTGGTTATGGGAGAGATGTCCTTTATTCTGTTAATATGGTGAGTTACCCCCATTGACTCAACTCACCTTTCTCAGCTGCATCAGCTGCATCTCAACTTGGTTTGTCTGTGGCTCAGGATTTTTTATTGCATCCTCGTTTTGAGAATGTCCTTGTCAGATTTAAATGCTCAGTAGCCCAGCCAGTGTGGCTCAGTGGTTCAGCATCGCCTCTAACCGGGGATCGAACCTGCACCCTTGGCTTATCGGGACGATGCTCTAACCAATGATCCACCAGGCCGGGGCTGAGTGGCTTTTCCTCTGATGTGGTTTCTTTGCTTGTTCTCTGTCCTATGTTTTGTTTCCTCCCCCAGCTTGTAGCATTTACGTTCCCAGCCCCCTGCTTCTGCCCTTCGTATGTTGCTTCTTCCCTTGTGGGTTTTATTTCATGAACTTTCGGTCCTGTCTTGTGTGACACAGCTTTCCGCGGAGCCTCCGAAAACAGTATTTGGTTTTCAGCAGGGACCATGCTCTGTGAACATTTTAAACGAAAAAAATAAAAAAGCCTGATTCTGCTCTAGGAGTTTGTTGTTGTGCTGCACTCCCCTCTCCTTCTGTCCTCATTATGTTTTTATCATACGCTCTATTTATGCCTCCTCCCTCGGTTCTGCTCCATAGTAGCCATCTGTTCTGCAATTTGGCTGTCTCCGTCCTTCAAACCACTGCACTTCTTAGGAGGCACATGAGTTTGCTGCGCCTGGTGAACCAGGAGGTCACAGGTTCGATTCCCGGTCAGGGCACATGCCCGAGTTTCAGGCTCGATCCCCAGTAGGGGGCATGCAGGAGGCAGCCAATCCATGTTTCTCTCTCTCTGTCTCTCTATCCCTTTTCCCTTCCCCTCTCTCTAAAAGCAATAAGAACATTTTAAAAACGTAGAAATGTCATCCTGGCATAATATTAATCAAGTAACAATGTGTGCGGATTTTAATATTAAATGGCAGCGAGTGGGACTGGATTTCTGTAAATTGCAAGTAAAATCACGCTTGGGCCCAAGGGTTCAGCATAAGCATAACAGGCGCATCCACATTAATTTCTGTGTGAAATTTCCCAAAGTACTGTCTTTCAATGTCCAGGAGAATAACCACCGTGAATCCGGTCATTTGCTTAGAGGTGAATGGGAGAGGCAGAGAAACCCTGTATGAGCAGGGGAGCCACTCGGATGATGGTGAACAATTCACCAGGCCAGGACATTTCATCAGCACGTTTTTAATGGCTGCTTGGCTCCTAGGAGGCAGAGCGTTAGCTAAGATTTGCCTTTTCCCACACCGCCTCTCTCTGACTTGTAGGATTCAGAAAATCGGGGGTGTGGGAGTTAAAAACCAACTCATGCTTCTCAAGAAAGAAGGAGGCCCTGGTTTTTCCAACCAGATTAGGGGATGATGTTGCCAGCTTCGGGGAGCAGGAATCCTCTAGTAAAGTCAGCTCCTGCTGGTCAGTGTGGCTCAGTGGTTGAGCATTGACCCATGAAGCAGGTGGTCACGGTTCGATTCCCAGAGAGAGGGATGGAAACATCAATGAGAGAGAATCACTGATTGGCTGCCTCCTGCACGCCCCCTAATGGGGATCGAGCCCGCAACCTGGGCATGTGCCCTGACTGGGAATCGAACCAGTGATCTCCTGGTTCATGGGTCGACACTCAACCACTGAGCCACACTGGCCAGACACGTGTCATTATTAGGTAGCCCTTTATCTGTGATGTCACTAGGATGGATCTTTGTTACTTAAGGAGTAGACCCAAGGGATTTTATTGTAACCATTGAAATATCAGGTTGCTTTTCCTATCTACCCACCAAAATAGTATGCGCACCCCACCCCCCCCCACCTCCCAGCCTTTGCTCCCTGCTTCACACATTGCACTTTGCTCCTCTGGAACAGGCAGCAAAGCGATTCAGTTCACACATGGTGGCTGCATAGATTCATCATTGCTTTTCTTCCCCAGAAGCCCTTGCTTTTGCACCAGGTCACTGTCAGAAACGTTAACGCCTTTCTCTGGTTCTGCAAGAAATACCAGGGACGCAGAGGAGAATTCAGTGGACAGGAAAGATGAGAGCGCCTTGGCAGGCATTTGCAATCAAGGAGATGAAATAAAGCAATTAATTGCTGAGAGACATCTAAAGAGGAATGGGTAGTAGGCATTTCTTTGTTCGATGCATTGGAAATCTTAGCTGGTGTAGTGTTTGCCTCAAATAATTTTTAATTTTTTTTCTATTGGGCCTAGTAATAAAAGTATTAAGGTCATTAACATAAAGTGTTTGAAAATGATTTTCTTTTTTAAACCACTTTGTCTTTATTACTTCACATGCTGAACAAAAAAACCACAAATGTCATATTCAAATCACGCTGAATTTCCTGAAAATTTGCATGTGGATAACTGCTATGGCATGGTGTACCTCTGATGTTAAAATTGATTGAAAATATATTTTTCATTCATCTCCTGAAGCAAGAAAATAAACATTGAAGTTCACTTTTAAAAGAAAATAACTTCCCCTAGCCAGTGTTGCCCAGTGGTTGAGCATCAACCTATGAACCAGGAGGTCAAGGTTTGATTCCCAGTCAGGGCACATGACTGGGTTGCAGGCTCCATCCCCAGAAGGGGGCGTGTGGGAGGCAACCAAGTGATGTGGCTCTCTCACATCTATGTTTTTCTCTCTCCTCTCTGCCCCTCCCTTTTACTCTCTTAAAAAAAATCAATGGAAAAAAATGCCTCCAGTGAGGATTAACCAAAACCAAACACAAAAATCTGTTATCTTTTCTCACCCGTCTGAGTAGACAATCTGCTATCTGGGTAAAGATGCCACTGATGGACACTGATGATTTTCACACAGTCACAGCGGGTAGCTTAACCTGTGGTGCTGCTTGGTAATTTAAGCGAACACCTTAGCAAGAAAAACACACACACACACAAAGGAAAAAACCCCGCTGAAATACCAGTTCAGTTGTTGGCAGTGGCTTTCATCTTATTTCCCATTTCTCTGTTGTCTCTTGGTTGCTGAGTATTTTTTTTAACTCGGGGTACAACTGATCTTTCTGGGGGAGTTTTTCGCAGAATTCTCAGCTGCAGGTTTCTTTGGACTTGAGACCTAACTTTAATCTGCAAGGACATAGAAGCAGATGAATTTTCTCATTGTAAAAACAAAGTGAATGCCTCAATGATATATTCGCTTTTCTTAGCAGGCTTCTGCCAGTAGGATTGATGCTTGAGGGTATTTTGTTAGATCTTGTGTGGCACAGGAAGTTATTACTCAGAGTTTACCCGATTTTAGCTGGCAAACTTGCATCGGAACATAGAATATCATTTTGCGTTTAATATTGCAGTTCCAGTGCCATTATCAGATTGCATTTTCATACTGAATTACAAACAAAAATTTCATGCTACTAACAATGAGATTTGTAATAAGATTGTGTTTTGATGCTATTCTTCAAATAATGTGTTTTGAATTGCTTTCCTTTGACTATATTTGCACTAAGGAGGAACTGAGTTGATTTGGTTCTTTAAAGAGTTTACCCATTTCCTGGGTAGCTTTAAAAAAACAGGTAAATTCGCCCAGCCGGTGTGGCTCTGTGGTTGAGCGTGGACCTATGAACCAGGAGGTCAGGGTTCTATTCCCGGTCAGGGCACAGGCCCGGGTTGTGGGCTTGATCTCCAGTAGGGAGCGTGCAGGAGGCAGTTTCTTCTTTGCGAGTCAATAAATAGAAAAGGAGCACATTTGCTAAGATCCACAGAAGTAATGGCAGAAGATTACAGATAGACGAGTTAATGAAATGACTCATGGTGGCTATTAGAGCTGCACAATTAAAATATATAAAGTGCACACACCATAGACTGTGAGAGATGATACCCCTGGGTTCTGTTTTCTTTCTCGTCAAACCTTAAGGCTGATATAGTAACAATTAAGAAATTTAAGAGATTCACATTATTGCAATTCTTGATCAGTGATGCCCAAAATTAAATGGTAATCTCTTGAGAGTGCGTTTGTTTGTAGCACCCTTCTTACTCATTTCTGCTAAAATTGTGGCTGTTTACGTGACCAGGTGCTTTCCAAAAGATAAACTTGCATGACCAAGCAAAAGCACGTCACTGAAACGAAACGTGCTTTATGGGGTGGTTTGGTCCTAGTTGTCTAACTGATGGAGTTTGATGCAAAAATATAAATACTGAAACAGTGAAAGGATGGGGCAAGTCCTCTAGTGAGGCAAGCCTGCCTTTACCACAGCTTCCTTTTTAATAGACTCTCAGTGGCTTTGGAGAAGGCAACTGGTGGGAAATGGTTAGGAGGGTAAACTGAGCAAGGGGAGGGGGTGGCGAAGGCAAAGCAACGGGCGTCCTCTGGGGCCTTGGTGCATTTCCGTCCAGCTTCGCAATGCTTTTTAGAGATGGGGGAAGGGGGAGGAGGAGAGAGAAAAAAAGAGAGAGAGAGATGTGAGAGAGCGACATGGATTGGCTGCCTCCCGCACGGACCCCATTGGGAGCAGGGAGCAAACCTGCAACCCCAGGTATTTGCCCTTTGGCGGGGAATCAAACCTGCGACCCTCAGGTGCGCCGGCGGGTGCGCTAACTACTGACCCACACTGGTCAGGGCTATTGCATTTTCTTTTTAGAGAGAGAGGGAAATATCGATGAGCGAGAACATCGATCGGCTGTCTCCTGCACACCCTCACCAGGGATCGAGCCCGCAACCCGGGCATGTGCCTGATCGGGAATCGAACCCGCGACCTCTTGCTTCAGGGGCCAAGGCTCAACCACGGGCTTGACATTGACTTTCCGTGTCACTGTCCGGGCAGGAACTTGGCCGCCACGTGCTGAGCGTTCGGCTCCTGGGCTCCGCTTGCAGGGTTTGGAAGGGCGACCCTTTCCGCCAGCTTCACCAGTCACCGGTGCAGAGGCCTGCGCGCCTGCGCGGCTGCGGACTGACGCACTGCGTCGCCTTCCTGACGCAATGCGCGCAGCCTCCACCGACGCACCGCGCAGTGTCTGTGACGCAATACGCACGCCCCCTGGCCCCGCCCAGATGCCCGGCGCGCCGACTTACCCACAATTCCCACTGCGCGCGCCGCTCTCCGGTCGCCGCGCCTCGTGCAGCGACGCTGAAGTTCCCGCCTGCCGGGGCCGGGCTCCCGCCGCCGGGGACATGCTGCCGAAGCCGCGGAGCCGGGGCCGCCCCAGCTCCCAGGCCGACAGGGACGGGGGTCGCGGTGGGGACGGCCGGGCCGCGAGAAGTGCTGCCGCCGAGGAGGCCCCGAGCACCTCCCGCGGGGCGGGCGGCTCGCAGGACCCCCGCCGCTCCTCGTCGCAGGGCGGCCGCCGGGCCGACGCGCCCCTGGTCGTGGGGCCCAGGTCCCAGAAGCAGCTGGAGCTGAAGGTGGCCGAGCTGGTGCAGTTCCTGCTGATTAAGGACCAGAGGAAGATCCCCATCAAGCGGGCCGACATCGTGAAGCACGTCCTGGGCGACTACAGGGACATGTTCCCCGACCTCCTGCACCGCGCCGCCGAGCGCCTGCAGTACGTGTTCGGGTACCGGCTGGTGGAGCTGGAGCCCAAGAGCAACACCTACATCCTCATCAACAGCCTGGAGCCCGTGGAGGAGGACGCCGAGCTGCGGGGCGACCAGGGCACGCCCACCACCGGCCTGCTGATGATCGTCCTGGGGCTCATCTTCATGAAGGGCAACGCCGTCAAGGAGACGGAGGTCTGGGACTTCCTGCGCCGCCTGGGGGTGTACCCCACCAAGAAGCACCTGATCTTCGGCGACCCCAAGAAGCTCCTCACCGAGGACTTCGTGCGGCAGCGGTACCTGGAGTACCGGCGGATCCCGCACACGGACCCCGTGGACTATGAGTTGCAGTGGGGCCCGCGAACCCACCTGGAAACCAGCAAGATGAAAGTGCTGAAGTTTGTGGCCAAAGTCCATAACCAGGACCCCAAGGACTGGCCGGCCCAGTACTGCGAGGCCCTGGCGGAGGAGGAGGACAGGGCCCGACCTCAGGCCAGCGCCCCATCCCAGGCCAGCGCCCGATCTCAGACCAGCACCCGACCTCCGACCAGCGCCCCATCTCAGACCAGCACCCGACCTCCGACCAGCGCCCCATCTCAGACCAGCGCCCCAGCCCCCTCCTCTTGAAGCCATAGGTTCCGGGGGACTCCTGGGGGCGAGGTTCGAAGGCGCAGGCCTGAGAGGGGTGTCAGTGGGGGCAGGGGGCATATTTCTGTAAAGCTGAAATGTGTGTAGCTTTAGGATGTGTTTGCAAACTTTTGTTCTTTTACTATTTTAAAGTATTTGGTTCCAAGTTTTCATTTATAAAAATATGAGTAGAGAATTTATTTTGTTTTAGTATCTGTATTTTGTGTGTGTGTGTGTGTGTGTGTGTGTGTGTGTGTATGTGTATAAACTTGGCTAGCTTTATAATACTAATTGGAAAACTTTGTACTGTAATTTGGAACAAAGAACACATCAGTAATTTGCTTTGGTGCCAAGTCAGTGTAAGTGGCTGTTATATGGCCTCCTAACTGCCCCAGTTTGTAAGGAAAAATAAAAGCCTTTATAAATAAAAATATAATTGCGTATATCCTCTTTTTTTTTTTTTTTTTGCCTCAGCACAGCTATTTTATGTTTTCTATGTATAAGAAAATTGTATTTCCTCGACGTAACTTTTTTACATTCATGATTATTATTTAGCTCTGTGACTAACCATTTAGCTTTTTTCCCTACCCTCATTATAATAAATACTATATCTTTGAAGCAGTTAAGCATTGTGCATTTTTTAAGTCGTGAGTCCTGAGAAATTCCGTGACTCAGAACCAACATTTTTTAAACAGTTTTTGCTGCACGTTACAGTACGTAGTGTTTTGTAGAAGTTGCTTTACTTCCAGGTGTGTGTGTGCAGATTGCATCATGACGTGAAATACGTTTCTCTTACTGTGACAGGTCGCAGAAGTGTTAATAAGCCCTTTAGTGGTTAACTGCACCTACTTGGGAAGCAGACACACACCCTGGCTTCAGAGTCAGGCTCCCCCTGACCACATGCATGTAGGCAGGTCCCTAACTTGCTTACAGACCTCTCCTCACCTGTCATCTGGGCTGCTGACTCCGAGAGTGTGGTTATGTGACCGTTAGATGTGGAAGCGGATGTACAGCTCTTGGCACCACGCCTGGGGCTTTAGTTAGTACTTTGTTCCTTACATTTTTAAAAAATATGTTTTTTATTTCCTGTGGTCTGGAGCAGCTAAAACATTATTTCTAAGGTTTCCTTTCATTATCTTGCTCGAAATCATTCCTAGAATTTGAGTCACTGGTTCAAAAGTTATGGCAATATTCTAGTCTTACTATGGTTTTATGAAAAAATATAATTCATGGTATACGGTGAGTATAGCCCATATAAAATAGTAAAAGCAGGGAAATTAGATGTTAAGATTTCCCCTGGCTATGAGGTCATTGTAGGATAGTGAGAAGGGTATAGGTTTTGAAGCTGCCAAACTGACTTTGAATTATGGCTCATGGTATGTCAGCCTGGTGATTGGAGTAGGTCTTTCTGCGTCTCAATTTATCTGCAAAAGGGGGAAAATAGTAACTATAACTATAGGGGTTTTTTCCCCCTAATCCTCACCTGAGGATATTTTTCCATTGATTTTTAGAGAGAGTGAAAGGGTGAGAAACAGAAACATTGATGTGAGAGAGACGTGGATTGGTTCACACACATCCCGACCAGGGCCAGGGCTTGAGCCCGCAACCTAAGTACATGCCCTTCACGGGCATCGAACCCGGGACCCTTCAGTCCACAGGCTGACGCTCTGTGCACTGAGCCACACTGGCCAGGGCCATAGTTTCTTTTATGGATTAAATGAACCTGAAGAAAAGCTCGTGGTCCCCACTCTCCCGCCACAGCTTCCGCAAAATGCTGCTCAGAGAGGCTCAGCCAGTAGCTTTCAGGGGTGAATAAGAATTGTTTTGGGGGAAGAAACTGCAAATTAATCATGAAATGAGGTAAATAGTTTTAAAAAGGGAACTGGATCAACACTCACCTGGAAATAGCTACACGAGTCTGGTGGGCCTGTGAGCATGGAGGAAGGGGATAGGCTCCTGGGGGGGCCTGTGGGCATGGAGGAAGGGGATAGGCTCCTGGGGGGGCCTGTGGGCATGGAGGAAGGGGATAGGCTCCTGGGGGGGGGCCTGTGGGCATGGAGGAATGGGATAGGCTCCTGGGTGGGCCTGTGGGCATGGAGGAATGGGATAGGCTCCTGGGTGGGGGCCTGTGGGCATGGAGGAATGGGATAGGCTCCTGGGTGGTCCTGTGGGCATGGAGGAATGGGATAGGCTCCTGGGTGGGCCTGTGGGCATGGAGGAATGGGATAGGCTCCTGGGTGGGGGCCTGTGGGCATGGAGGAATGGGATAGGCTCCTGGGTGGGCCTGTGGGCATGGAGGAATGGGATAGGCTCCTGGGCTTTCCTTCCGTTGAATGGAATTTTCATACATTCCTCCTGGTTTGCATTTTATTGCCGACTTGGCCACGTGCCTTCCCCTCCGGTGTGTTCTCATGGTGTGTTCTCATCCTGCATTTCATCCTTACGGTGAGAATGATCCTAACCCAGGGCCCGTTACCAGTTCTATCTGAGGCACATGTCCCCCCACCCCCCCCACCCCACACACTTTTCTCATAGAGATGTTAACAATTTACCAGCAGCGAATTACTAGGTGATTTCAATTTTAGAACAGAAAGCAGCACAGACCAGATCTTTTCTTCTCGCCCTTCCCAGAGGTGTCAGTCTGTGGGTCTCATGCGGTTGCCGGGTTCAGTACGTTAATGCGCGTACACACGAGCATTATGCGCAAGTGTTCCATGAGCTTTTCCACCTTAAAGCTTGGTGGTAGACTGTAGCCTTGTGCTACTCTGTTTTACACGATATTGGTTTTGAGATTTTGCCAATTAGATCTGATTCATCCGTTTTATTTGTTCTTCCATGGGGGGAAATAAGTTTATCCATTCCCTAATGGTTAGGTTATTTCCAGTTCTTAGCTATTTGCAGGCAGTACACACAGTGCTTCCTTAGGCACGTGTGTGAGAGCTTGTGTATGGTTACACTACCAACATGTTAGAGTTCCTTTTCCCCGATCCTCTCTCCTGCGTCCGTCCCAGCCAGATGTGCATGTCACTGTACCCGGAGGGAAGTCCCAATATGGAGTCATCACTCTATTCACAATGTATGGATCCCCTCCCATGTACGTAGCACATGGCCTACTATTTTCCTAGATCTAAAAGCCAATTCTCTTTTTTAATTGAAAAATGAGAACAAAGTTGTTTTGATGCACTCACCATATATATAAAATCACTTAAAATCGACTTGCCAAATTGATTTTTAAAAAGTCAGAAGAGAAAAATCAATGCAACAAATTATAAAATGTAATAAATATAATCATTACTAAAGAGATTCATTCTGAAACAGCACTCATTGTGATCCCTAGGAATATTCCGGTGAGGATTTAAAAAACTAACAATAAATAAAAGAAAGGTCTTCTAAGAAATAAACTTCTTTCATTTGATTTTCTTTAGTGATCAGTTGTTATTTTTAAGGCTCTAGAAAACTATTTTGAGACTATTGTATATTTTCAAGTTTAGCCTCAAATACTTTATTTTTTTAAAATATATTTTATTGAATTTTTACAGAGAGGAAGGGAGAGGAATAGAGAGAAACATTGATGAGAGAGAAACATCGATCAGCTGCCTCCTGCACACCCCCTACTCGGGATGTGCCCACAACCAAGGTACATGCCCCTGACCAGATTCGAACCTGGGACCCTTCAGTCTGCAGGCCGACGCTCTATCCACTGAGCCACACCGGTCAGGGCTCTTAAGTACTGTAGCATATATTTCCAATAAAGTCACGGTCCGGACAGTGGCTTTTCAGAGCGTACCGTTTCTACTTGATGTAAGGGAAGCTGTGTTTGCAATTCTGAGAAACAAGACGTTTCCTTTGAAACAGGCCAGGCATGTAATGATGTGAGCGACTGAAAGCATTTTTGCAGCCAAGTCACCTTTGCTCCGAGCCTCTGCGGTGAGTAATGGGCTTTGCGCTGGTCTCTTGCAGGTCACCTTTTTCATGCTGCTCTCCGCGGTGTGCGTGATGCTGAACCTGGCCGGCTCCATCCTCTCCTGCCAGAACGCTCAGCTCGTCAGCGCCCTGGGAGCCTGCCAGCTGGTGAGCACTGAAACCGGCGCCTTCCCACGAGGCCTGGCTGCACGGGCGGGCGTCACTTTAAAAGCAATCGTGTCCCCTCCTTGCGTCCTTCTGATAGTTCATGGTTGTCTAAGGAATTGAATTTCAGTTGATTCGTTTCTCAAAATTCTCCCGGACGAACGCATGCACCGCTTTGTAAATCCGTTACTAATAGAATATTCCTACGGATCGCAGCGCGTGCTGTTGCGGAATGAATCTCTTTAGTAACGATCATATTTTAGCATTTGTTGCATTGATTTTTCTCTCCTGAATTTTTAAAAATCAATTTGGTAAATCGATTTTAAGTGACTATATACATATATATATATATATACACACATATGGTGAGTGCATCAAAACCACTTTGTTCTCATTTTTCAATTAAAAAAGAGAATTAGCTTTTAGATCTAGGAAAATGGTAGGCCATGTGCTACGCACGTGGGAGGGATCAGTAAGTTGTTGGTTGCATAGAGTGATGACTCCATATCATGATTTAGTTCCAGGGACAGTGATACATGCGTGTGGCTGGGGCAGAAATGGATGTATGTCCAGTCACACTGAGTAAGTGTGTGGTTGAACTTCTGATATAACCTTGGCAGCTGGGTATGGGGGCATTCGCATTGGTTTCTTTTTTAAATACATTTTTATGTCAGAGAGGAAGGGAGAGGGAGAGGGAGAGAGAGATATATATCACTGATGAGAGAGAATCATTGATTGGCTGCCTCCTGCACGCTCTCCACTGGGGATCGAGCCTGCAGGCTGACGCTCTACCCACTGAGCAACACCGGCCAGGGCATCCCACAGCGTTTGTATCCACTCATCTACTGAGGGGCACCAGGCTCTTTCCAGATTTTGGTCATTGTAACGAGCGCTGCTCTGAACATATGGTGCATATATTCTCTCATGTTAGTGTTTCTGGTTTTTTAGGATATATTCCTAGAGGTGGGATCACTGGGTCAAATGGCAGTTCCATTTTTAGTTTTTTGAGGAAACTCCACACTGTTCTCCACCGCGGCTGCCCCAGGCGGCATTCCCACCAGCAGTGCGGGCGGGCTCCCTTTCCTCCACATCCCCGCCAGCCCTTGTCGTGTGTTGATTTGTTGACGGCAGCCGCTCTGACGGGCGTGAGGCGATCCCTCCTTGTCGTTTCAGTTTGCATCTCTCTGAGGATCGGGGACTTCAAGCATTTTTTCGTGTGTCTCCTGGCCGTCTGTGTGGTCACTTTGGAGAAGAGTCTAGTTAGGGCCTTTGCCCGTTTTTTAAATTGGATTGTTTGTCTTCCTTTTGTTAGGTTGTCTGAGTTCTTTATATATCCTGGAAGTTAACCTCTTATCAGTGGCAAATATGTTCTCCC